ATGGTACTTTATGTATTATGATATTATCAATACATTTTTTTATATTCCAATGGATTTTAAAGTTTGTTTGTTGTTTAGCATAAAGCTACACAATGGGCTATCTTTGCTGTGCCAGCTGCCAAGAATAAACCCTAAAATGAAGCTTGATAAACCCTCAAGATTACCGCTGAGTCATCATGAGGAAAATTTAAAATAAGAGATGATTGAGGATGACCTGAAAAAAAAGGAGAAAATATGTAATATTCAGAGCATATTTAGTGCTTCCTGCTTACTTATGTTCAGTAAAGTAAGCATTTCATGTTCACCTAAAATTTTCAACATTTTTGAAACGCATGTTTTTAGCCATGTGTGTACCTTAAACAGTACAATGTTGATCAAAAATTTGCATAGATTACTTTTAAGCTTCATCTTATTGTTCTAGATCATCACCTTCTGGTGTCACATTTCCATTTTTATGGGAAATATCTGTATAGTAAAACAATCTATGGTAATGTGGATAGCAATCTTTTGCAGGCAGGTGATGCCTTAAGGGCATATCCCACTTATTTGCTAGTGGAATTAACAATAGTGACATTGGCACCAGCACTCTGAGAAAGGTGACTCTATTGTACTTTGGCCATAGCTGTTGTACTCTTCAAGTCTTATCCAGAATTTTTCATAACTCTGCACTTTTCAGATTGTCTTCAGACCATGGCCAGTTCTGCCTTCTGAGTTAGAACAGCACTATCTGATGCCTTGTGCACTCATTCACTTTGATTTGTGTTATTGTTTAGTAAAAACTATTGCTCCATTTGTTTTTACATTGTGTATGATTTCTTTCTTCTACTCAGTCCTAATCAGAGAATTCGGATTTACTCTGGCTTAACATTTGCAGTTACTATTCTTATCTAACCAGGAAAAACAGAATATATACGGAAGTACCACATCTACACACCAATGGAGTTAACACCTCACATATAAATGACATGACAAGTACCAAGAATTACAGATGTATGGGGTCTTGTCATAACCCCATCAATCTTAAAACACATTCTTAAATTCTAATAGACCCAAACAGAAAGAAGTCCTTATATTTCTCCAACAGAAGTAACTATACAGTCATCATATGCACAGTTAATTTACCTATGAAGACATGGAAGATGGCCCTTTATAGAGGAATTTCTTGAGTTCATTAAAAAAAATTTTAACCCACCTAAGAAATGTGAAATAACAGTAGATGATGTTTACAAGTTCTTTAACGTTTAACCATTTCTATAAATATGATGTTGAACAAAACGCCTAATCTTTAATTGTGGAAAAAAACAAACGGGCATTGTGACAGGTCACAGTAAATTTGTGTATGCATATTTCATGTATGCACTTCTGTTAACATAACAGGCTCAAACTCTGGGTGAATTCACACTGGTTTTCCCGGACAGTTTTCTAATAGAACTGGTGATGTTATGGGACTGTTGCATGTTTACAACTTATGATTTTGCTTTAGAAGAATAAATCTATCTTTCTTCAACATTAGAATGTTATAACTTAGGTTATTCAATTATATGCTAGTGATTTTTGATTTTAAATTTGTCTAATGTATATTTGTGTTGAGAAAAAATCAATAACATAAACATTTATGGACAAAAAACCTTAAATTGCTGTAACTTTACCTTCTACAGCCAACAAAAACTAGTAGTTACAAGTAATTAACTAGCTGCCACCCAGAAAGAGTAACATCTTGAAAAAGTTTTCAATGAAGGTAAACTTATGTGATATGTCTAATTACATTTTTTTTAAAGTAAGTCATGCAGTTACAGAAAAAAAAAATGGTCAATTCTAGTTTTATGAATGACTGACTAACTTTGGGTGTAGGTCAAATTCATGGATGTAGAATACTAAAAACAATTCTCAGTGGATCCACTAGTAAACACTCCAGAATGACAAATATTTTAAATGCCTATCCTTATTCAAAACACCACCTAGCAATATGGAATCAGTTTGGGCACCTCCAGTGCCACTTCTTGGTTGATTTCTCTATTCAGAAGCAAAATACGTGATTAATTTTAGCCATGATCTTCAGCATATCCTACCTGATTTAAAACAAAATAACTTATGAAGTAACAAAAGCCTACAAAATCTGATGTGACTGAAGGTGTTCCAAAAATTCACAGAGAGGTTTATAAACGTTTATAACATATAGAAAATGTTGAAGTGAAAGAGCTCCCTTGAGTGTTAAGATTCATTGAAGAGGCTAGGTTGCTGATTAGTTATAACACAATAAATATATGCAAATGAATACTCCTAAAAATATATCTTCAAATGGGTAAATTAATAACTCTTTCATTATGATAACATTTCATATCTATATACAAAGGCAAGTAGCAACAAGAAGTTTGGAATATAAAAACAAATATTTGTTACTATATGAACACAAGAATAAAAATCAACATGAAATATATTTTAACAATGTAATTATTTTAAGAAAAAAAATACAAGAAACTTTAATAACTAACAATAAACATTCTAGTATACATACACATGCCAGGCACACCACTATATTTCTATTCTAGTCAAGTGAATTCTGGGATTGTTTCATATTAGTTTAAAACACTACTATGAGTATGTAACAGTTTTTTGATGTGATCATGTCTTAATTAATACTGAATAAATGTTATAATAAAACAATTTTCAATTTATTTATTTGAAGCTGTATTTTAGAAGTAATGATATGGTGTGGATACCTCAACAAAAAAACGAAAATACACTAATGAAGCTTTCAATACAATCTTCTGTAATACTTGGCCTCTTTTAGAGTAATTTTTACCCCATAATACTACCAGATTTTCATTACATTTTTTCACACATTTTAGTAGTACTTTGACTTGCCCAATTGGTAAACTAGGCAACAGTTAGCTTCAAAAATTATTTTTTTGATGAAGTCAGTATGGTAGAATTTGAACAATACTCAATTATAATGAATGGAATTTCTAAGGTTATATATTTCAGCAATAATACGTCAATTTGTAAGGTGCATTTTGTATGTCGGTTTCAATCCTTATTCTTATACACTAAAAACTCGTCTATCTTAAATTAAACTCTAAAAAGGTATATGTATATGTCAATGGAAAACCATTAGTATGACTTTTAATGAAATAATTTTTCTTTCTTTAACTGTATTAATTTTGCTTTGCCTTTATTTGTGAGTACTGCAAAATTAATCTAATGAACTGTTACTTCTTGAATAAGCTTCAAGTAGTAGCTAACATTCATTCATCACATGTATCTCTAATACACTTATTTCTGTCACCAAAACATTTTTCCACACAAACTTAACAAAATATATAACAATTCTCTATATGTAAAATTAGTCATTAAACTTTATAACTTACTAATATAAAAAAATATTAACAACTTTAAGCAGATTATGAGCAGAAGTCATGAACCGATAGTAAGCAAAGAGCCATTATTTCACTCACAGGTGTATTTGTATCATTAAATTATATAAAAAACTAAATATTGGGCTGAAAAAAACTGATAATTTGGCTACAACTCACATATAACAAGTTTTCAGTGATTATAATGGGTAGATGTACTTCAAAAAATATTAAGCAAATTGAAGAAATTTCTGAAAAGCTGTTACTATGTTATCACACAACTTCATTATGACTATATTGCATTATGCTGCACATCAAGCAACTCACTCATGCAAAAGGAACTTAATTCTTTCAAACGTGAAAATCCATTCCTACCTCAGAAATCCATATGGTTAAATCCAAACCTACAATATTTTATTACAAAGTCCATCCAAGCTGCTTCATGGATTACATTTAACAAAGTGCACACAGAAATAGTTTACAAGTGAAACCTAAAAACTTCAACACAGAATGTCTTTCTTGGCATTACACACACACAAAAAAAATAATAAAATAAATAAAATAAAAAAAACAAATTACTTTCTACCGCAATTACTTGAATTAGTAATACTAAATTAATATATATATATATATATATATAAGCCAAATAAAGAAAAAAAAGATAAAATAATTTTGCTTTTATGGGTCATTTAGAAAAAGACAACATTCAACGAAACTTCTGGGAACACTCAGATTTAGCTATAGAGTTCAATACTTAGAAATGTAATTTTCAACCTTTTTTTTTTTTTACATCTGATCATTACATATTCAATCAAAATCAAAGGTCAATGAATATTACAGCATTATATCAAAAGCTTTAAAAAATAAATTAAGGTAACATATGTTTGTACTGTACAGTATGTCTACCTCACTTGCACTACACTTCAAAATACATATATTACAAAATGCTACTCATATCCTATATGGATTATTTGCATAATGAATGGATAATTTTCTCTTTATTCAAACCAAATTTGCATATCTAAGTAACTACTTTTCAAATAATTTTCAATCCTTTAAATTAAATATGCTTCCTAAGAGCATTAAAAAAAGTCTAAGCATAGAGAAAGAGAAAAACATCATTTCCAGTGTAAATCAGCCAGAAGAAATATTGTAACTCATTTATAGGGATGAGAATAATCAATACAAAACAAACATTTTACTTTCCAATTTAAAAAATCTACCAATTCCCCAAATGCCATAATTAATAAGAGTATATTCAATCACACACTTCAACCTACCAATAATCAGCAAGCTGAAACTGTAACCTTCCTTAAATTATCTAACAGCAAATGATAAAAGAAAAAAAAAGAATCCCTAGAAAAAAATACATTATCAAGAAAATGTATATCTTTTAATTAGCAAATTCCAATTATTTTAGAATATGCTACTGGAGTCATATGGATATATTGCATGTTACTACGAAGCACACAGTGGAATATTTTAGTAGAAAAGTAAACACATGAGTCCCAAGAGCTTTATATCAAAGTTTTACTAGTTACAAGAAACACATAGTACACTCATTACAGTATTTAGCAAATTTTAACAGATACTGATAAAGTAAAAAAAAAAGAAAAGTTAGACCAAAGTCTCAAAAACAAAATTTTCTTTTCAGTTCTTTATATTTCATAATTTTTTACATTCTTAATCTACACAAAAATGGATCAGTCTAAATCCAAAACCTTTTAACCTTATAATAATCACCCTTAATAAAAGTCTCCTCTTCGACTATACCCCGGGCGACCATATACATGACTATCTCTATCTTGGTCAAACATAAATTCATGATCTCGATAATGATCACTACTATTGGGTGCATCAGAGGGTCTGTTTCCAGGGTGGTTCAGTGGTGCTGCTTGAGTCATTTCTGGTGGTACCTCTCTTCTATAGACACCCTGTGAATATTCTGCATCTAAATTTTGTCCCAGTAAACTCTGAGAACTCAAATTTTCTGAGTTATATTCAAAACGAGTCATTCGTTCAGTCACTCTTTCTCTGGAACTCCCAAATCTACTTTCACCTTGTGAGTAGGAAGCAGACAATCTGTCCAATTGTCTGATAACGTTCTGACTTGGGAATGTTTCTACAGAACTTACAGGAGAAACATTACCATAAGATCTAGACTGATTATTACCTCTCTGAGATATTTCATTACCAAATACCTCCCTGTTAGCTGTGGAATGAGAACTACCCTGGCCTATACTGTATGCCCTAAAATTAGAAGAAAAAGTAGTTGGAGATTTTATACCTGAATTAGTTGAAGTAGTAGCTATGCTGAGGTCCTGGTTAGACAACAGCTGAGATAAGGCTGTTTTGATTCCAGTTGTGTTGTAGTTACTGTCTGTAGTTGGGATAGAGGACTTATCCTTCCAATTCTCTCCTTCATGAAACTGTGCCAGAAAACCTGACATTGGTCTTATGTATGTTGGTATATTACTGGATTCATGCTTGTTTTCATAGGTTTTGCTGTATACAGTATCATACTTACCAGACGCTTCAGCCAGTGATACTTGTTCTTGTCTTCCCTTCATGTCATATGTATCTCCTTTCATACTGTCTAAGCAGTCCACTAAAGTGATGGAGAGAGATCTATGAAGACAATAACTCTTACATTTTTTTTTATTTACCTATTAATTCTCCCACATTAGTACTGCACCATTTCTTTTTTAAAATGCCATTGCTACAATCATTATCATACCTTCATAACAAACACAATTTGCCACCGCTGGCCATATTTCAAAGATTACTTCTTTTACATTCCAAAATACAAAATAAAACCATTCAAACAAGAGAAAATCCAGTATAGCTATACCCATTCGCAAACAATCTTTGAGGATAAATTCCACGGGATAAAAATAACCTGTTAATTGTATGGATTCAGGCAGATCTTATCAATATTTTTGTTCTTAAGGTAATTTCAAAACCCTCAAAAATGTAGATTATCTAAATACATCAATGAAATTTGTGGTGAATCTGTGAATCAAAATTTTATACATACTTTCATCAAATTCTTAGTAAGACTAAATATAGTTTTTAAGATAAATGCTTTCTATTCCAATCCGGAAATGACGTAGAAAACACTGGCATAGAAGTACTTACCAGTTGTTCTTCACAAATTTTAGAATACACAGATAATGCAATAAACACACACATTAAATATAGCATAATAAGCATACTTAATAAGTGACATCATTGAAAAACAAACTTGTGTTAGCTTTTATAATATTCATTCTCTGTACTTCATTTCTTTTATTCATTTGTGAAGAAAACTTTGATCATGTTATATGTGGTTATATTTTTCCAAAGTTTGTGGGAAAGTAAATAAACTAAAGTCTATGAAGGGCAATTGCAATCCTTGCCTCATAGCAAAATGACATTCCTGTACTTATAATAAAATAACATGAACTTACAATAATCCCCAAGACGAATAATTTACAAAGAAAACAAATGTCTCAATTTCATTTGCCTTAAATATAACTGACAGATTTAGTTGATCTGAATTATTATAAATACTGTGTAAGTTAACAAGGAATAATGCACATGTAGTAAAACATTTTTGAGGAATGCCATAAAGTATTACAATGACTTAAAAGTAAAAAAAAAAGCTAATAATAATAGTAATAAAATAGTAAAATTTTGTATACAAGGAAATAAACAAACCAGTACTGAAGTCTTTGACTGGCTCTTGTTCATGTAGCTGTGCATCACTGTGATGTTCCGTTCTGTAAGTTGAAGGAGTTGATTGTGTGTCAGTTGGTTTTTGTGGCTTTGTTTGTTTGAAAACTGCAGCTAGAAGCACTTGAATGCTCTCCATTTGCTTGGAAGAGAGTGAATCAATCTAAATGAACAAGAAACATTTGTACTTAGAATACAAACCTTTGCTTACAGCCACAATGAACTATGCAAACAGTAAAAACATTTAAATGTATAAAACAACAGATTTAAATGTTTAACCTATTTCCAGCAAATTAACAGATAAATTATGAACTATTTAATTTTAGAATTGGTTTTGATAGATCTAGCATGTTGAAATATCTAAATGTAAAGCAGAGTAAACTATTTACTCGAATTGCAATGTTAATGCAATGAGTAATTGTCAGAACAAAGAACACACATTTCTGAAGACTAATGTTGTTTGACTACTCACATAACTTTAATATATTTTACAGCACATTTAATTCACTAAGGGCTAAAATAAGGGCTTTTGTACTGAAAATTAAGTCAAATATCAGTCAAAAGGATATCAAACAAATTCATCAAATATGAAACATCCAAAAATAATGCATAACCAGTAACATTTGAACACACACAAATTTGAACAAAAGTTTTATATATATATTACGTGAAAACATTTGTTGGATCTTAAAATGAACTTTAATGCATCTAATAAGATGCACTAGAAGAAACTTAACAAATCGCATTTACAAATTTTATTACTTAGTTATAAAATAAAATGGTACAACCTGTACAAATTACAAAATTTTCACAAGAAAGATGAATATGATTCTTCAGAATCATTCATATATTGGTTCAAAACAAAATTCACTAGTACAACATATGAACTTCAAAGTGTGTAATGTATTCATTAAGCACAGTTGTGACTGTTATAACAATAGCACCACACCCATTACTGCTGAATGTTGGACAACTTGATGGTGATGCTTTATTACATGCTGCAAAAGTATTCAATATTTGACCCAAACACCCTTTAGTTTTTAGACTTCTTATTTAGATTATACAACACAATCAAATATCTTAATACTTAAGCCTTTTGTAAAATGCTGCAAATGATCTTTATGAAAATAATTGATTATTTCATGAGTTTGACAAATAAATGGCAGATAGATTTTAATTACAATAAATACATGAGAATGGATGTGAGTTATCATAATTTGAATAATGAGTATAATTTTAATGGGAATAACCTTAACACCGTTATGGAAAATAAGATCTTGGTGTTCTGGTTCATCAGTCTATTAAATCATCCAAGCAATGTGATGTTGCTAGTGGCACAGCAAATGGGATTTTAAGTTTTATATACAGAAATACTTAATACAAGTCTAAAGAGGTTATAATATCATTCTATAGGCCATGGTTAGACCATAATTGGAGTTCTGTGTTAGTTTCAGTATTGGGTTCCTTACCTTAGAAAGGACAATGAATTGTTGGAAAGAGTTCAGAGGAGGGTTACTAGGATGATATCTGGAATGGAAAGGTTGTCAAATGAGGATAGGGTGGCTAAGAAGAATCAGAGGGGATCTGATTGAGGTGTTTAAAATTGTTTAGGAAATTGACAGTATTGATGCATCATCTTTTTTTTCATACTTAATGGCAAGAATGGTAAGACTAGGGGACACAAATAGAAATTTTGGCAGGGTAGGAGTCATCTTCAGCTGAGACGGCTTGATTTTTCTAAGAGTCAGGTTGAACTTTGGAATGAATTACCTTCAGATGTGGTAGATGACCATAATTTAAGAGTTTAAGGAAAGGCTTGATAAACATTTGAATGATAAGGGTTGACTAAGTGTTTTCTCTTTATTTCAGAGTTTAGTACAATGGATGGGATAGCCTAAATGGACTAACAAATCCTTTACTGTCTTTAAATTATATATATATATATATATATATATATATATATATATATATTACTAATAATTATATTTTTATGTTGGTTTAGTATATATACATATATTT